CTTTTCCGTGATTCTCTTTCGTGCCATTTTCCCGATTTTGTAATTCTCTTTCGTACTATGATCACGATTTTTTAGTTTTCTTCCATCCAAGAATGAAGTGAATATAACATTCACTAATGGATTTATGGAAAAACTAAAAAGTCGTGGACATAACACTTGGTTTGAGCTTCAGTGTAGATTTTTACATTGTAGATCAGTATTTACCATTAAATACTGATAAAATTATTTAATATTAATGATTCTCTAGATAATTACCTAGATTAGATATGTTTATCTAATACAAATATTTGAAATTGTTTTGTCTTCTTTTAATCTACATTATTAAAAATCTACATTATTAAAATGTAGATTAGCTTCATCTTTATTTTAGATAAAACAAATGTTAGCAAATTATCTTTATTAATTTATTTCTTTATCTAGATAATTTTAATTATTTAAGCGCAATTCTATTCCAGACTGTTCTAAACTGCAAAAATTCTTGCATACCTGTGAAAGAGCATTAACAACAAATTTTCAGTAGAAATTGAATTTATTTTTTTCTTATATTTGCAGATTTAAAGGACTCTGCACTACTCATATGCAAAAACAAAATGTATATTGTAGATAAAATTATTTTTCAGTATTGATTAGATCCAAACTAACAACTTTCAAATAGGCAGCAAAATCTGTCTATTTTTTATTATTATAATATGTCTAGAGACTTTCAATCAACATTTTATAAGTTACAAAATATTATATATATTACAGTTTCAGTCAATTTGATTGATTGATTTTTTCCATATGACTAATGTAAAGTTCTTTATATATCTAAAATTTAAATCAAAATATCGACTGCGCCTTCCAAAGCTGGCAGAGAAGTATTAATTGTAAAACTGAAATTAAACGCGGATCACACAATCCATTTGTCTTTACAGACGAACTGAAACTGGAATTTAAATAATTGGAATGCCGTTCCTTCAAATTACAGAAGCTCACTATAAGCTGACGATAAATATCTCGAAGACGAACGAAAGTTTGTTACACGGCGGAGAGGTCGGGTTATTCGTTGTACGTGTGTTCGGCGTAAACGGTAAAAAGACCGAAGAGATGCAACTGAGTCCAACCTCGAAGTACTACGAGCCTGGTAGCACTCACACCATCGTACTGCCCGGTGATGTCGTCGGGAAGCCGCACTCAGTGGAAATTATCTGGAAATATGAGACCCGAGTCTGGAACCCACTCACATGGAGATTGTTCCACACGCCACGGGTTTACATCGACATGCTGACTGTAAAAAACTTGGAGACTGATCATGGGTGAGAAATTCCGCTTACCTCGCGGCTTGCTGTCGAAGAAGTAATATCTAGTGAAAAAGATCGGAATCATATGCCACAAGAATTTCTTGAACACGCGACATTTCGAATGCAAGGATGAAGGATATATTACACATATTTATATAACAAAATGAAAGAATTAAGAAAAAAATTACAAATTTTCATTTATTGTATTTCCAAAGTGATTGCGAGGTTTAATGTGCAAAGAATGGTTGTTTGCAATATTTGATATTTTTTGTAAAAAAAAATTTAACGTTATCTTATAATCAGAAGTCATATGTATTATTTACTATCTATAGAATATATTTTTTTTAATTTCGATAATTTACTGTTTATCTATATTATAAAGAATTTAAATACAGTTTTTCTAATATAGTAAAGTTTCTGCCTATGAAGTCATATACGTATAATTTCTAGTTTATGGTTATGCATACATAGTGTAATTTATCATGATAAATTCTGCTACACGTATAGCCACATAATAAAAAAAACACACACACACACACAGTATGTCTCATTTTAATTGTTCAGCTCGAATATCTTGAAAAAATCGCATTTTCAAAAAAAATGTTTCCAACAAAAGTTATAATCTGTACATGCGTATCACACAATAACAATAAATCAAATTATAATTGCATATGATTTTATCATAGGCAGAAAATTGACTGTTATAAAAAAAACCCTGTATTTAAATCATTCATAACATAGTTAAACAATTGATAAAATAGTGACAAAAAAAATACATTTTCTAAGGAATAAATAATACATTCATAATGTCTGATCAAATATTAATAAAATAATGTTAAACTTTTTTAGAAAAAATATCAATGTTGCAAAAAACATTTTTGCATATTAACTTCGATTATTTTGAAAATCTGACGTCCTAATAAAATTTAGTTTAAAGCATTCAACCATCTATAAAAAAACACTTTGTGGTTTAAAATAATAAAAAAAAAATAATTTTTTGTAAATTAGTGTATTAAAGGTAAAATGGTAAAATTTTCATTCAAACTATAAGATTATATTATTAAATATTAAACCTGTTAACCTTATTGAACCGTTTCATTTATGTATGTAATATTAATTTTTATCAAAAAGTATAAATTTTCAATTTCAATCATTTTTTTACAAACCTATGCATCTAGCACATTCTTAAAAAAATAATTATAAATTTCTCTTGTATTCTTTCGCACGTTTATAATTTTGCATCTTTATAACTTCTTCTCAGCTTTATAGCCGCTCCAGCTTATCTCCCGTGCAATTTTTATTATGCGCGAATGTTTTTACAACGATGAACGGAAAAAAGTTGAAACGGCGCGATAAACGAGTTGCTAACATTTATAAAATTTGACTTACATATAGTCGCATTAATTATTACACAGCGTAATTACTTATATAATTGCTCAGAGAGATAACTATATAATTATTAGATGCAGTTGCTAGATAGAATTACGTAATCGACTGCTATTTTTCATAATCTTTTTTTTTTTCAGGGTCACGCTGTGTCCGGACGACACAAAAGCGCTAATCACTAATAAACCTAAGATTCTTACCACGGATAACTGTCGCAACATGGAACACAACACAAATTCCATATGAAGAATCAATAAAATCCACGCGTATTATTCACTTTTTCTCACAATCAAGGATTGAAGCAAGTATAATTTCATTGACATAATTGAATTTCGCGAGATATATCTAAATGAAAAATCTCTTGTTTACGGAAAGTATCGTAAGAATGAATTCTGTCCTATCCGTAGCATGAAAACTAATAAAAAATCTCACCAAAAAATCGCTGAAATTATACTAGTTTCAAATTTTGCTCACAATGGGATCGACGATAAAAGTCAACCGTCTTCTCGTTTTAGCCTTATAGAAATACATAGGACTCGTTAACCGCGCGAAGGAAATTGCACGATAGAATGTTGAAGGCTATAGAAATTTTTCCACTTATCCTTTCTTATGGAAGCTAGAGGCAAAAAAGAATATTTATAATGCCGTATAGGAAAAGTATCCTCTCAGTCTATATAATATGCCGTTATTCTACGTGAAGTTCCAAGAATAATTTAATAAATTAAACGCTTGTCTTCATAATCCCCATAGGGGATTCGAACTTTACGTGGATTTATCATTTAATCTCCGGAAATTCCGTTTCGATCCGAGTTGCTTATTTTGCGACTGCCATAGGTGAACAGCCGATCGCGAGTCCAGCACGAATCGCATATAATAGCGCCGGTTTCCCTCGCAGCCAATGGCAAAGTCACGATCCTTTCACTGTCATTATGCGCCCGTGGTCTTTCTCTCTCTCCCTCTTTTTCTTTCTTTTTCTGTCTCTCCTTCGCCGGACGCTTTTGTGTAATGTCGTCGTCACATCAGTAAATTGTCGCTGACCCCGTAATTTGCGACCGTAAAAGCGTCAATCCCACTTTGTTCCCACTCATGGTGGACTTAATAGTGACAATGGCGTAACTAACGACGCATGGCATTGCGCGATAAATTTTATGATAAAGGTTTCTAATATGGAAAGAAGAAATGAGAGATGTTATGAGACGAGAGGAAAAAAAATAAAATGTTTTGAATGCATGAAAAAACACTTCTAAAACTAGTAGCATATTTAAGACAATTAATGCGTTAGTATTGTGTAACATTTGATTTGATTGTATACAGATGATAGAGACGTTCTGATGGTAATTTCGTAATCTCGTTTGTCGCATTGAATTAAGCAAAAGTAGGCCGCAAGACAAAGAGTGGGGTCGGGTATTTACGATAATTGCACGTACAATTCCCGCATACCAAATGAGCTACGAAAATTTATAGAAAATTCTACAAAAGGGTAAATATGAGCCGAGTCGATTCATTTAGTTAGAGGATTCGTCCTTATAGTTTTACGATCGCTTGATTTAACAAACATAATTCATTTAAGAAGAAATGAGATCTGAAGGATAATGTTCTAAGTTAAGATTTAGTTAGAGCGAACTCTAAGTTAGACTTTTAATGTAATATGTGAATTATTTAATTTCAAACCAGCACATATTTATACATACACTTCATTACATAATATACTAGATATAAAGTAAGCTTGTAAACAATTCCCTGATGATAATTTTTTGGAATATTTTTCAGAACTTTTTAAATAATTTTTTCAAAATTTTTATATAAATTTTAGCATCTATTAGAATTTCTGTAATCCTATAACTTTTCAGAAAGTTTCTCAAATTTTTTGTTTCACAAATTTTTACACTTTAGAAGTAATGAGAAAGTCTACATTCTTTTCTAAATACTTATATAAAATTCTTATATATGAATTCTGAAACATTGTATAAGATTTTTAAGATATTTTCTTCTCTCTGAAAAAGGTTAAGAATATTCTTTTTCGGAAATCTACCTAATTTAAAATACAAAAATGTTCTTAAAAATATTGTGTGATATTATCAGAATTTTTTTCATCAAAGTTCTATTATGGATTATTCTTAAGGATTATTTTTAAGTGTACATACAAGAAATTCATGTAGAAATATTTCGTGAAATATTGTGATTTTATTCCGACATTCGATTTATCAAAGCCAATAAATTACTAGAAAAAGTATCAAAACTTTTTATTATATTATGCTTTCAGTACATACTTGAATGTCTATCACAGACTTGAAATAAGAGCTGTCCAAAAGTAAAAAAGACGAAATTAATGATTTGAAAAAAAAAAAAAAAAAAAAAAACATACAGGAAGTAATATATAATTTATCCCAAAGTCATTGCTGCAACCAAGTTCCGCATTCACTTGACGTTTTCTATCGCTACGCGTCGTCTACGTTTGGCTCGTAGATTGGTTTGTTTTACTTCTTGATCTTTAATAAGCGAGGCAATTCAGCATTGATAATTTTCCTCGTCTTTCTCTTTCCACCCACAGAGTTTTTCAAAAAAATAACGGACGTTCACTCAGATCCGACGAGGGACCCTTCACATACCCCCGAATAAACCTCGACACCTGATAGTCTATCCGGTGGTGGGCAGACAGGTATTCCGGAGCAGGTTGCGAATCCACCGTGCATTCGAACAGTCGAGCGCCGGCCTCTCACCGCGCAACGTTCCATTCCTCTCTCGAATACGTCAACGGAACGAGCTGCAGCTCGCACTTTTCCTCGCCGTTCTCTCTCCTGAACGAGGAACGAAGGCAGAGTTCCGCATTGACTGTCAGCAAAATACCGTATCGAACACGCTGGATCTACAGAGAGGTTCGCGAAGGTGATGTGAGCTTCGAGCACTAGGTTTACGAAGATCACGTGGATATATACGCGACTATTATTTAAACGGCTGCGTGGGAAATTTCTGCAAGATGGACCGATAGACAGGACGACGGTCGCGTGACATGAGAGAACGGCTGCGAAAATGTGAGTTGATTGCAAGGATTCGTCGTATCAACGTTGAAATTAAAATCGAGTATGCGTGACAGAAGAGAAACACTGACTTGAGCGTCATGCACTGCACTCATATGGAAAGAACGGTTTTGTAAAGCAAAAACAATTTAGATGCAGATGAAAATAAATTTTGTTTGACTATCAAAATAATTTGACGCCGAAATTGATTGCTACAATGTCATTTTTTGCAGCATCACTCATCATGCTCGAGTTTCTTACACAATTATTTTGATAATCCGACAAAATTATTTTCAGATCTGTATCTCTTTGAATTTTCAAAATTATTTTTTCCGTGCAGAGAAATACATAGTGATTGCCACTATAAAATAGTTTATTTAACCTTTTTTTTTTCGTATATTGCAATAATTATAAAATAGTTTATTTAATTACGTATTAATTCTACATATATAAAACTTGAATAGTTGTCGCCTTTATATGTAATTGATACATTTTTTTCTCTAAGTGTGAGAGAAAAAAATGTTTGTGTGATTATAATTATATGATAAAATAATAATAATTAGAAACTCCATTTTTATAATTATTATTGCTACAATGTTAGTAATAACAATTATTATATTTATAGTTCTATAAAAACAGTATATAATTGGCACAAAAATGATTATAAATTATAATTGAATTATAGTTGTTGCAATAATTTTTTCTCTTAGTGTATGACAAGTGATAAACTGTGCACAAGCTTACAATAAAAAAATATTTGATTGTAAAACTCAAAACAATAAACCCAAGTCTTAATACGATTTATAAACGACACTCACATTTATTTCTTAAAACAAATTTCACACAATCAGAAAATTAATTAAAGGAAATTTATAAATATCAAAGATTCTTTCCTGTTTTACAAAATATTTTAACGTAAAAATAGTTACATTATTATCACGACCTTGACAAAATAATGTCATGTAATTACATGAGTCATCCGACACGCATGTGCATCTAATTTATTCAGTGACTATTCAGATTTAGTTATATATATATATATATAATTTAGATATATGAATAAATATCGCTTTTAATTGCTATTGTTTTCCTACATTTGTCAACTAACTTTCTTAAGCACTTAACTACTCATGTCGCGTTGGAAAACACCGTTTATGCGACGCATGAGTGCGTCGCTCTTAAGCCGATTCCCATTCAGAACACGTGTTCGAAAATCATGACGCGTGTCCGATCGCATAGCTTTTTATTTGCAGTGCTGCAATACGATTTATTTGTCAATGTATCAATAATGCTCCTTTTATTCTGTACTATAAAAATTTTTAATACAGAGGACTTATTCTAAAAAAATCGAGTACGAAGATATTAGGGAAACCTCGAGTAATATACTATACATATATACACGTAATTGTATACTATAATATTTTTATATGCGATATTTTTCAGGAATATGGCTCTAGAATGCTCCTTGGAAACAAACTGACTTATTTGTCATCATTTTGACATTAAAATGTCGTCAAAGACTTTATTTTGAAGTCATCAAAATAACATCTTGTCAAAATAACAGCTTGTTCGTTGGGCTAAAACGTCTTCTTTTTAAAGAGAATTTAACAATGCATTTCCTATACTGTTATGGATATTAAAGGAGCCATGATAATCTAATCCTTTGAGTTAAACAATATTTTGTTATAACTTTCGTGTGGATATGTCAAAATGTAAATGAATCCATTTCTGTGGTTAATTTCAAAATAAACAACGTCTACATTAACGTACGCATATAGTGAACAATAAGCTGTATTTGAGTCAAATTTAATTTATATTTTCTTAAGTAAAATTATTTAACTCCATTATTTTAATTAAATTAACGACAAATTGAGTAGGAGTTGTGATCTTTTATAAATAGAAACAATTAAAAATATTTAACATTATGATTGTAATAGTAGTTTCGACATAGAATAACGAGTTTTGTATCTATTCACTGCGTATTCACCTCTAGCTGCTTATCACGCGTTCGCAATACACAGAGTACATCTCGAAGTGTTTTTCGAAATTGACTTACGGAGGTACAAAACTGAATTTCAAGCGTCCAATCCGCGCGATCCATGAAAAAAGCTTTCTCGTACTGAGAGCGCTCTCACGCGATAGCTTCGAAGATTTCGGAAATATGTGCGTGCGTGCAGCGATGAAAAGAACGACAACTGTAGACATATATAGATAAAGACAGGCGAGTAACGCGACTTTCTCCGGTAGACAAGCCTATGTCTACGTAGGCGTATGTACACGCGGACCTTCTATCGCAAGGCACAAATCATACCAGACATCTAGTCAAGTCTTAAACTAATGGAGCTGCACACACGTCGCGTAAATTGATTACGGCGACACCGATCTATTACGATTCCTACATGGGAAAAATCGTTTTACTGAAGTATAAAAATTCAGTCAGATATACTGTTAAATTTATATCAAATTATATTCAATTTGAGTTACTTTTAATCATTTCTATATAGGTCGTTACTGCTCCTACTTAATACATTGTTAATTTAATTAAAAACAACTGATTTTTCAGCACATTAACACTCTTATATGATATCGGATTGAAGAATTTTTAGAATTTGCTCGTCAATTTAATTTAACTTGTGATATTATTGCAGTAATTTAATTGCGTTTGACAAAGTCCGGAAAGATTTCGGTGCGCAGTTTTGAATAACTACAAAAATATGATATATATGCGTGTACATATATAGGATACAGATAATTCACTGTGAATTATTTGGGCATTGGGAGATCTAGTTTTGACCGTCATAGACTTGAATGTGCTTATACTTGAGTGTTAAATAATTTAATTCAATAAATGTATTAAATTTGATTCAAATTTATTATTTACTAATTAGAAGTGCATATGTTAATATGAACGTTGTTTATTTTGAAACTAAGCATGTAACCAGAAATGGATTGATTTACATCTTAATACGTATGGAAGTTAAAAATAATAAAATGTTATTTTTAACTCAAAGAGTAGAATTCAGAGTTACCATTGTCCTTTGATATTTAACAGTATACAGATCACAAAATAATTATATTGTATTATCAAAATAATTATGCAGAACTCTCAAGCGTCCTACATATTTATTGACAATGTTACAAAACGTTTTGACATCCTAGCTTTTCAAGTAGCGAGTTATTTGTTGTCATTTCGACATCAAGTAATAACAAATAACGTCAGCTTGCTAAGTGAGAAGAAGGTCGTTAAAACATCAAAACTTTTTTGCTGCATTATCATTTAATTAAATAACATCGTTTTGACGTCAAAGTGTCGATAAGTTTGTTTTTTTACTTAGGCTAAATATCCAATTTGCTATTAGACATCGAAGGCTCAATGGTAACCTAATTTCTTGAATTAAATTTGTCATTTTTATTTTCCATGTATATGAAAGTGTAAATCGAGCCACTTCTGTGATTGAATTGCTTAATTTCAAAATAAACAACGTCCATATGTGAATGTATTATTTAACAAATAATAAACTAAATTTGTGTCAAATTTAATACGTTTCTTTTGTTAAATTGTTTAACTCCACTGTTTTAGTTAAATCGACGACATATTGAGTAGAAGCAATGGGCGATCTATATAAATGATTAAAGATACTCAAATTAGATACTCAAATTGGATTCAATTTTATTTCAATTATAAACTTAACAATTTGATTATTTAAACAGTGCAATATAATAATTTTTAGATTTGTATCTAGTTAAAATTTTAAGAACTTCAGTAAAACTGTGCTGTGCATAAGGAAGTTCAAGGTCGTACAGAAATCTTAATCCTGAAGCTGTACTGTCGATTAGTTCGAGCTGTCTCTAATCATATGACCCGCAAGAACGCGTTTATAATTTTCGCTTTTTTCTATCCTCTCGTATTTAAGTCAGCAACTCGTATGTCAAGTTTCGCGAGATAATTGCAGCGTACTTATTTACGCAAGACATGATTAATCACCATTAAATATTTGCTGCGTCAACAAGCTTGCATACATAGATCGATCTCAGAGGAAACAGATTTCCACTGTTAGTGTGATGAAAGTCCCAGACAATTTAAACAAGATCTTTTATTTAAAGATCTTTGTCTCTGAGACATGTTGGTCAAGGTCCAAGGTATCGAGCAAAGTAAATGAAACAATGAAAATCATCGTGATCTAATCAAATTTAATGACGCTTGAAAATTTATCTAACAATCGATGTATGCGTGGAGTCCTGTTCACTGCGTAACATCGCAGTGCTCACATCGTAACGATGATCGGAACGATTTTTAAGATTGTAAGGCACAAATACAATATGTTAAGCATTACTTGAAAAAAATCACAGATTATTCTAAATTGCATTTAAAAGTAATACAAGAAAATTAGAGACAATTCACCATCTAGATCAAAAGTTATTTCGATAAAAAGTAATATTTTTCAAATTTGTACGCTAATAGAAATATATGAAAATGTATTATAAAATAATGATTTAAAAAATCTCAATTTTTTTGTATAAGTATTTTATGAATTCAAAAATATTTCTGTAAAGTTACATTGAGATGCAGACATTAATTGTTCAGTAAATGAACCAAATATTTATTTGTTACAAACTAATTGGTAAATCTCAATGAAACTTTGCATGAGTCATTTTACTTAAAATATTAATATGTATATATATAAAAAAATTTAGATTTTTAAAATTTCTGTTTATAAAACTAACATCACATAAAATAAATAATCTATAAAAATAATCTCAATAAAAACAGAATGTTATGAACACAATTTTCACATGTATATGTAGTTTGTTTAAAGCGTAAATATTAACATATGTGTTTTTTATGCCCTTACAATCTCCTTTAACTCTCGCTCCTACAGATCTGCGAATATGTGACGCGAATCTTTCTGAAAAAGTAAGAGGAGATTTCTTGAAATAGCCGAACGAATACAGTGGCACGAAGAAGGAAATCGGCGGCGTAGTTTGACGGACGCTTGCAAGTATCAACGAACTGG